AGATTCTGGAGAGCCACTGCTGGTCAAAATAAAGTAGTGATGGGGCAGGGGAAACCACACATACAATGGGCTAGGCCTGATCCTTGCCCTTCGTGATCCCAACTATTAAAATCAAACACTTCCCTTGATCTCCCATAGCCCCTTCTTAGACTCTGTTTCTTGGTCGCACAACACTGTGACTGAAATATGGGAACTGGCTTCCTAACATAGATGGTTCCGGAAAGAGCGCTCAGAGCTTCTGCTTTCACACGAAACCAAGACCTGGGTTGAATAATCCTCACAAATCTATGGGAACTGGTCTTTTCAAATCAAAATAAAGACACAGTGAAACAGGACGTGATCCGTCCACTGCCATGTACAGAGGGGTGACTCTCAGGTCGTCCTTGTGCAGATCATTTCATCTGTTATTGCAAATATTTGACCCATGCACAGGAGTATTACTATGACCTGATCAAAGGCACTGCTGGGTGGGGTGTCCTGATGGGAAACTGGAGGTGTCTCTTGAACTCCAGGAGTAGAGGTGGGAGCTGTTCCCTGTAAGGTTGTGGAGTCTTGTGAGCAAAAATTCTACTTTCTGAGCGACTGATATTAAAGTTGTGAGTGAGCCATTTGGCTACTGCATAAATTAGTCTGCTCTGGAGCCATCCTTCCTGAGCTACCGTGTTTCCCCGAAAATAAGACACTGTCTTATATTTATTTTTTCTCAAGAAGACACACTAGGGCTTATACCACAAATGCATAGAAATCCTGCTAGGGCTTATTTTTGGGGTAGGTCTTATTTTCAGGGAAACAGGGTAAGACAAAAATGTGTGAGCCGGGGGCTAAAGAACTGTGAGTCAGCTCACACTAACTCAGCTTGGAGGGAACACTGGTGGGAGGACAGAGCCCACTGCCTGCAGGGCTGTGTTGTCGGATCCCTTCAGGTGTAGAATTATGAGGGCATCTAACATTTTGTGCAGTGCCTTAAATTGAAAGCCAACCCTTTAAAACAAGAGAGGCCTCCTTCTAGGAGCTGTCCATTTTGTAATCCTTTTTACACTCCCGTCAAAAGCTGAGTCCCATATTATGTTTTTCAACATTCCACCCAGGTTTTAGCTGGAGCAGTTGAAGCTCCATGTGTACCCTGATACACATGGAGTTCCTGTTTGCATGGGCATCCATATTTAATTTTTTTCTTATTTTACAAAATTTATATCCCGCCTTTCTGACCCCACAAAGGCCACCAAGGCAGCAAACAAATTGTGTGTGTGTGTGTGTGTGTGTGAGAGAGAGAGAGAGAGAGAGAGAAGTGTCATCAAGTTGCTTCCAACTTAGGGTGACCCTGTGTTATGTATTAGGGCTGGAACATTCCAGGACTGGGTACCAGAGACTGGCTGAGCTTGGAGCTCTAGAACAATAGCCCACCAGGACTCTGGAGGTGACCAATGAGGAAGTAATGTTATGTAAATAGCCTATCATTGGGAGTTGGGTGTGGTTCTTGCATGCTATTTAAACAGGGCTCTTGCCCTGAGGTTTCAGTCTTGTATCTGCTGAATCACTTAATAAAGTAGAGCTGTTCACTGCAATGCGTCTTGAACCCAGTATTTAATACCCTATGAATTAATGACCTCCAAAATGTCCTGTCGTTAACAACCTTGCTCAGGTCTTGCAAGCAGAGGGCCACGATGACTTCCTTGATGGAGTCCATCCCTCACATTGAGTCTTCCTCTTTTCCTGCTGCCTTCAACATTCCTTAGCATTATGGTCTTTCCTTTATTGTCTTCTCATAATGTGACCAAATTACGATAGCCTCAGTTTAGTCATTTTAGCTTCTAGGGAACGTTCGGGCTTGATTTGATCTAGTACCCGCTGGTTTGTCTTTTTGGCGGTCTACAGTATCCGTAAAAACTCTCCTCCAACACCACATTTCAAACGAATCAACTTACTTCCTGTTGGCTTTCTTCAGTTTCCAACTTTCACACCCATACATAGTAACGGGGAATACGATGGCATGAATGTTACTCTTGGTTGTCAGTGACACAGCTAACAAATTATAATGTACATAATAAAACTACATTTTAAAACCATTAAAACCAATTCAGTAGATAAAGTATCTCCTTGAGCCCATATAAGTTCCCCACCTCAAATAAAAATAAATTAGAAACCAGGGGATCCCCAGGTGTGAACTAGATTTCCTGAAGCTCCAAGGAACAATTTAGAGACAGAACAATCGCAGTATCTTGGTGTTGAACTGGTACTTTAGTATTTACAGAGGTATTACTGGTAAACTGCACAAGATGCATGGAGAGTAAACGATATTTATTGGAAATGAGCACAGCTGCTTTAGGAAACAAAATGTCCCTTAAGAGGGAATAAAATGTTCAAAAGGACTCCACAGTCTCTTCCAAAAGCAGACATTTTCAATCCCTGAAGTGTCACGTTCTCCAAAATATTTTTATATGAATGTTAAACTTCGGTTCTCTTTGCTTTCTTCTGACATATTAAAATATCAATATTTCAAATGCTGGTATCAAATCTTCAAACCCTGTAAAAATGAGACATTGATCTCCTTAAAGACAAACAAAGGTCTCCACAGTTTTAGCATACCCTTCCTGAGTTTCAGAACATACTAAAACATATCTTTTAAAAAAAAAGAGTATGAAAATAGTTTTTTTAATCTTTGCCATGGGAGAAATAATTGCTTCTTGGATTTACAATTAACGGTGAATATAATAATTCCCATAACTGTTGAGAAGTAATGATTGAAGAAAAAACAACCCTGAAATTCATGACTTTCCCTCCAGGGGTACTTGGGAGTGTTTTACATGAAAAACAGTATTGCTAAGTTACACCAGGAAGAATTCACCATTGACAAATGATGGACACAGTTTGGCTAATGCCAAGGGCTTTGAAGTGTCCTCAGTTTCAAAGGAGAGAGTCAAGAATGTGTGTTGTATTTGGAGTCAATAACACTGAAAAGTGCTTAACTTTGGCTGGATCATGCCTTGACCTCTTCATCTGCTTGTAATGACAGTTTTCATTTGATGGGTCTCACCTCACTTAAATAGGATACATGCCCAGAGCAAACTCTGAGCTGGATCCAGATGATGAATGGAGCTTACAAAAAAGTGACTCAAAACATTGCATTGCTTTATACTTAAGCCTTTTCCAGGATGAGATAACTCCGATATATTCATGAAAACTGAGAAATGGTGAGATGTTCCCAATTAAATCTGGAACATCTAGCACACATATTCTTCTCTTCTGACCACCTTCGCTGTATGCCTTGAATTACCCCTCTCTTTGCCCAGTTCAACCCCAACCCAGGATGTAAAGGTAAGGTAAAGGTTTCCCTTGCTCAAAAGCCAGTCGAATCTGACTCTAGGGATGCGGTGCTCATCTCCGTTTCTAAGCCGAAGAGCCAGTGCTGTCCAAAGACATTTCCAAGGTCATGTGGCCGGCATGACTAGACGCCGAGGCACACGGAATGCTGTTACCTTCCCACCAAAGTGGTACCTATTTATCTACTTGCAATTTCTTGCTTTTGAACTGCTAGGTTGGCAGAAGCTGGGACCAGAGACAGGAGCTCACTCCGTCATGCGGCACTCGGGTCTCGAACTGCTGAACTACCAACCTTCCAGTCTGCAGTTCAGTGTCTTAACCAGTTGAGCCCCTGCAGCCCCATTGAGCCTGGGCCAAACCAGAACACAAGGCTTTATCCTGAGCTGTTTCCTATGTAAAATGCAACTGTGAAAGGCCACCTCTGGGAACCGTGACATATTGAGGGAAGGATTTCCTAACCCATTTCCCTCCAGCCATTTGTCCAATTGTGTCTCCCCTGACCCTGTTTTTATGAAAAAGCCATTTTTAGGGGTACTTTGGAGCACCAAAAATGGTCAGAGGAGGATGGGTTAAGCACCTCTTCCCCTCCCACCACTCCAGCACTCTAGCTAGTAGCCTCCTGTAGCTGCTTTCGATGACACAAGTAAGACCCCGTTAAGCACATTTTCAAGTGGAGGCTGGACAACCATCTTTCGGCTACGCTCCTGCAGAGTGCAGGGTGTTGGACTAGATGACCTGCAAGGTCCCTTCCAACTCTAACACTCTATGATTCTTGTGGATCATCTACTTTTGTCCTCAGACATTCACTTTTCCCCAGCAAACTCCAACAATCATAGTTGCCGAGTAGCAGCAGTAAGGAAGAGACGAAAGGGCACTTGACGTGCTTCCCTTTTATTCCAGGAGTCACTCGGGTGCCTGCCGTGCTGCACATCTGGTCGCCACCGCTCTATAGGGTTAGGGCATCAACCCTGCATGACTCCCCTGCCTGCTCCAGAGATAGTCCTAGAGTTACAAACCCGATCTTACGAGGATGGTTGTAGGGCACTTACAAACTAGATGGTGTACAGCCAGTTTCCCAGTGTCACTGCTGGCTCCAGAGATGCTCCGGGGATGCCGGAGAGAGAAGGACAAGCCAGGCAAGGGGAATAAGGGGGTCACCAGTCCTTTTTGTGGTCCTTCTGTCAACCAAGGGGATCCAAGTCCTCTTGTGGACCATCCACCAAGCTTACGACTGCTGCTACTGAATATTAGTTCAGTTTACAGTAAGGAGTCCCCAGATGAGGGATGTTTTACTGTAAGCTAAGCTGGAACTTGGCAGTAGCATTTTTAGGATTTAATACTCGATGAGGAAGCTGACCTGGCAGGCGTCACAGAGCCCTAGGTGGCCCTAGGGAAGCAGGGTAACTTTCTCCTGGGTTTGACCCCACCCAGGCTTCCTGGTACAGTGCAAGCCCCTAAAACCCATGGGGATTTCTCCCCTTGTGAATCCCAAAGCCAATTTCCCGTTGATAGCAAATATGTAAAAGGAAATGTACTTTAAGGAGACAGGAAAGATTTACGGGCCTAGTGGGATGATGTTCAAATAGAAAGCACAGAAAAAGGCAAGCAAGAAACAAGGTGTACAATCTTACATTTGCGGTTTACAAAATGGCACCCTTTTGGCATCTGCCATCTTACATTTATATGGTATCCGTTTTCATTTGGTCATTGTTATTTAAAATGGGAGACGGCTTGCTCCGCGGGCCCTCCGTTCCCCCCCTGGAGGTATCCTGAAGAACCCGCCTCGGCAACCACAGCAACATCAGGATCCGTTTGTATTCCTTCCGGAAGTTTTGGTTCAGGAGTCCGTATATTATTGCGTTAAGGCAACTGTTGAAGTAGGCCATGAAGTAGCTCACGACGAACAGCCACTCTGGGACTTTGGGTGCTATTTCCGAAGGGTTGCTGGCGACCGCCAGCCCAATGAAGTTCAGCGGCGCCCAGCAGAAAGCAAAGATCACAAAGACGACAAACATGGTGAGGAAGTTTCGGAAGTCACTCGGCTTCAGCCTGGGCTGGACTTCCGACTTGACTCGCCGCCTCACCTGGAGCACGAGGACCCAGATCCGAAGATAGCAGAAGCTCACAATGGTGATGGGGAGGATGAAATGGACGACGACGACGACGATGGTGTAATACGAGCTGGCCGTCTGGGTGAACGTGCACGAGTAGATGCGGGGATCATACTCGAGCGAGCCGACAAAAAAGTTTGGCACTGTTGCGACCACGGTCAATACCCAGACCAGGCAGACGTACAGCATGGTGTTCCAACAGCTGTATACTTTGTCATAGGCAAAGCTATGGCAGATGTAGCAGTATCGGTTGATTGCGATGGCGGTGATGCTGAAGATGGAGCCTATGACGCTGAGTCCCGTCACAAAGCCACTGACTTTACAGTGCATCTCCCCCAAGGACCAGCCATTGCGGAAAATTGCGACGAGCACTAGAGGATAAGGGTACAAGGCCACGGCTAAGTCCGCCAACGCCAGGCTAACCACAAACACGTTGCCTAGGGAAGAAAAGGGGGAAGAAAAGTCATTGATTGACACCGGAGTAATAACTAACAGTAATAACTAACAAATGCCTTCAAATGTCACCTGGTAATTGGAGATTTTTTATAATGGCTTATATTGCTTTTTCTGATTTTTGTTGTTGTTTTAAGGGTTTGATTTTTCTGCTAATTACTTTGAGACCTTTCAGTAGAAAAGTGGTATAACATTTTGCAAATCGATGGTGAAGAATCTGGCGGAGCAAAGGCTGAACAGATGCTCTTTTTAAAAAGCGGTTAACTGCAGGACGTAATGGATTCGTGTCCGTAGTGGTGGGACCCTGTGGCTGTTTCACCACTTTTGCCATTCTGGACCAACCCTGCCATGGGAGGAGGAGAAGGCCAGTGCCAAAACAAAAACAAACAACCCCACCCATGGGATTGTGGCCCAGTGGTACAGCACATGGCTTGAGAGCAGCAAGTCCCAGATTCAGTACCCGGCATCTTCCGAAGGGGTCCCCAACCTTTTTTGAGCCCACGGGAACCTTTAGAACGTTGAGAGGAGGAGGTGACCCACCACCCCAAAATGTCCGCCACAGATGTTTCCTCTTCCTCCTTGATTTGTGAAAGAACCACAGAAGGGGAATAAAGAGGAGAAAGGGAAAGGGAAAGGGAAGGGTACAGATTTATTTATTTATTTACAAAATGTGTATACCACTTTTTTGCCCTTACAAGGGCCACCAAGATGACTAAAAAGAACAAAAGCCTAAGGGAAGAAAGGACCCACACACTGACTGAGGAAAGCCCAGGTGCTTACCAGTCCTCTTGGCCCTCCAGTGGGTACAGCTGCTACTGCAGCCGTAGAAAACCCTTCCACTGGAATGAGGGCAGCCAGTCACAAGCCCTGCCTTATAATGGCTCCACCCACTTTCTACAAAGCTCAGGAGGCACCAGAGGAAGCACGGGCAGGTGCCATAGCGCCCACAAGCACCACACTAGGGGACCATGACCAATGCTCCCTCTAAGCTGTGGGGTCTTGTGAGCAAAAATCCTACTTGGTGAGCTACTGGCATTCAAGTTGTGAGCGAGCCATTTGGCTACTGCATAAATCAGTTTGCTCTGCAGCCATCCTTCCCGAGCTAAGACAAAAATGTGTGAGCCGGAGGCTAAAAACTGTAGCGGGAACACTGACTTAATATCAGGAACAGCCGGTAGTCTGCAACAGGAGAATAATTAGCTCTAAGGTACTACCCACCATCTGTTTCAATGTAATTAATACGTTTGATTGTTTTATTTGATGATTGATGATTGTTTTTAATACTATGTACGTCGCTCAGAGCCCTACAATAGTAGGGATGGGCCGATTCATAAATTTAAATAGTAATAGTAATAGTAATAGTAATAATAATAATAATAATAATAATAATAATAATAATAATATCACTGTAAACACTGTTTTGAATCAGAAGAGCAGCAATAATAAAATAACAGGACTGTGGTGATCATCTATATACCTAATAGTGATATGTGGCCCCAATCTGCGGATACCTACATCTGTACATTGGGGTCACGTCGATGCCAAACAGATTTTTCTGCAAACTTGGGGGACTCCCCAAGTTTGCAGAAAGACCTGAAACGTTACAAAAATACATTGGGGTTTTAAAAACAGCAACAACCCCAATTAATGAAAGTGTTGTCTGTGCATGTGCAGATAATGCACTTACCAGCTGAGCCGGCAGCGGCTGCCGCAGGGAGCCACTCCAGGCCTGGATGCTACAGCAGAGGCTCCAGGCCCTGCCGTTGCTACAGTGGACACCAGATGAGGCTCTGGTCCCAGGTGCTGTGGCGGCGGAGACTGGAAGCTTCTCTGGGCTAAGGGCAGCTCCTAGGCAGTGCTGTTGTCGCTGCCGGGCTTACGGTGGGTGGTCTGGTCTGGAGCCCTGCCAGGACTGGCAATGGGGGTGGGAGATGGGATTCCTCCCCCATGAGTCTCGCAGCCCCCCCCCCACTTGTATTATTTGTTTCTGCAACTAGCTGGCCTACAGGTGTTTATTTCCCCTGAGTGATTAAACAACCTGCTTTCGCCACAGCTCCTCCTCCTGTGTAGCCATTGAGAAGCCATCTAGCTTCTAAAAGCCAGCAACCGTAGGCAAAACCCAAAGCTGTGTGAATGCAGTGAGCAGAAAGGAGAAAAAAAATTAAATGCTCAGAAGGCTTTGGATTCTTTGGAACGATTCCTTTGCCCCCATTTAATTGAAATCCGCGGCATATCATTAAGCTGCGTCCCTTTCATCCCTTCTCTCCATACATCTGAAGCATTTCTTTTCCAAACGGCAGGAGACTGAAACAAACACTGGGAAGAGGAAAGCGTCTCTCCCCGCAACGTTCCCCCCCCCCCAGCATCTTTAGCGGCGTCCTGAAAGTGGACATATCAAACTTCCAAATATTGGATTTCTGAGATTTGAGAAGCATCAATGGGGGTGGGGGTGGGGGGCTCACTGATGATGAAAAAATCCAATGCAGGCTTCCTCACAGGTCCCCTGTTACCCAATGAGACTTACTCCTGGGAAAGTGTTGCTAGGATTTCAGCCATACAATATGTTTGGGGTTTTTTTTGTATCCTAACATCTCAGCCTTTAAAAGATCTTGGGTAACAGGTGTCAGGAAAGACCTTTCTCAGCCAGAGATCCTGGACAGCCACTGCCAGTTGGACTAGCATCTTTCCCAACCTTCAGATCACGACCCACAATCAGGTTGCAAAGCCTGCAAAAGCAAGTTGTGGACTCTTGCAGGCTTATGGAAGCCGTTCCCTTCTCCTCCTTGCCCTGGTGCCCAGCTGTACTCACACTGAATCTCTGAGGTGGAGGGGGTGGGGCTATGGTGGCCAGCTCCAGGCTAGGGCTCCCAAATCTCGCCAAGTCGCCGCAGGGGATCGTGTGTCTTTGCAGAATCTGTGCCGCGGGGACGGCGAGATGCATTGCACCGCCATCACCAGGACATGATGCTACGCTGTTTGGAGCCCCCATTGCCAGAGCGACGCATAGAGTCATGTCTTGGCGACAGCGGGTGCAACGTGTCTCGCCGTCCCCACGGCACGGATTCTGCAAAGACACACGATCCCCCGCCGTGACTTGGCAACCCTACTCCAGGCTCAGAAATACCTGGAGATTTTGGGGGTGGAACCTAAGGAGTCTTGAGCAAACCTGCGTTGTGACTGAAGGTAAGCTGGTGCAACAATTTTCATAGAATCATAGACTTGAAAGGGACCTCCAGGGTCATCTGGTCCAACCCTCTGCACAAGGCAGGAAATTCACAAATACCTCCCCCCCCACAGCCCCAGTGACCCTTGGTCCATGCCCAAAAGATGACAAAAAACCTCCAGGATCTCCAGCCAAACTGGCCTGGAGAAAAATTTCTTCCTAACCCCAAAGTGGCGATCAGCATTTCCCTGGGTGTGTAAGAAAGGGCCACAAGAAGTAAGCACTGAGGAAACCCTTCCTGCCCTCCCTTCTCATGATCTGCCTAAGTTCACAGAATCAGCATTGCTGTCAGATGGCCATCAAGCCTCTGTTTGAAAACCTCCAAAGAAGGAAAGCCCACCACCTCCCAAGGAAGCCTGTTCCACTGAGGAACTGCTCTGTCAGGAAGTTCTTCTTCATGTTTAGCCAAAAACTCTTTTGATTTAATTTCAACCCGTTGGTTCTGGTCCAACCTGCTGGGGCAACAGAAAACAACTCTGCACCATCCTCTAGATGACAGCCCTTCAAGTACTTGAAGATGGTTCTCATATCACCTCTCAGTCATCTCCTCTCCAGGCTAAACATACCCAGCTCCTTCAACCTTTCCTCATAGGACTTGGTCTTTTGTAGCTGGCTCCACTTCCTATAGTCACCATTATATGCCAGCCATTTCTAGGAAAGCTCTGTCTAAACACAGGACAGCCAGTGTGGTGTAGTGGTTAGAGTGCGGGAGTAGGATCTGAGAGGCCCAGATTCAAATCCCCACTCTGGCATGAAAGCTAATCGGATGACCTTGGGCCAGTCACTCTCCATCTCACCCTTGGAACCATAGAATCACAGGGTGCGTTCAGACGGGGCGTTTCAGCCGGTTCCAACCGGTGTAGTTTATGCCGGCTGAAATGCGATCACACTGTCTGCGGAGCCCATCGCTGTATGCCCGTTCACACACACAGCGGCCGTCAGTGGTTTTTTTAAAAAAACTCAGTTTGCGCATGCGCATAGGCAGCCATCCACAGAATGGCGATCTTCGCGCATGCGCAAAACACCCCATCCAGAAAGGCATGCCATGAAGAGAGGACTTACCTTTAAAGTTTAAAGAGCAAACTGCCCTCCCTGAGGCCCCGGACTCCTCTAAAACCTTAAACTAGGGACCTTTTCTTTCTTTTTCTTTTTTAAACAAACGCCGGGGTGAAGCTTCGCCCGAGCGCATATCGCCGACCTAACAAAAAAAATGGTGGGCGAAAATCAGAAGCCTCGGGTTTCCGAACGGAAGTGGCTCTACAACGGTGGAGAGCGATCAGACGGGGGTAAAATGCTTACAACCGGTGCACTCAGGATACCACCACTTGGGGACCTAGTGGCAGAATACAACGGTTTAAAGCTCTTTGCAACGGTTAGGGACGGAAGGCAGATGTTCGCCGTGTGAACGCAGCTAAGTACACCGATTCCAACCGGCACCTATACCATTGTAAATGCCCCGTCTAAACGCACCCATAGAGTTGGAAGGGACCTCCAGGGTCATCTAGTCCAACCCCCTGCACAATGCTGGAAATTCATCAATACCTCTCACTCATACGCACACCCAGTCAGTGACCCCTGCTCCATGCCCAGAGGATGACAAAAAACCGGCCCGGAGAAAAAATTGCTTCCTGACCCCAAAGTGGTGATCAGCATTTCCCTGGGCGTGTAAGAAAAGGCCACGAGAACTAAGCACTGAGGCAACCCTTCCTGCCCTCCCTCTCATGATCTGCCTACGTTCCCAGAATCAACATTGCTGTCAGG